ATCGCTAATATTCATAACTTCAGATACCAAGATGATACATGCATAGAAATAGCATAATCATAAGTACCAGCTATTTCACGTACATGACTATGCCCAAAAGAGGGTCTGAAAAATCACACCACGTACCTGAGACCCTATGTGCCAGCACCATGCCCCACTGGAGTTTTGTTATCTGTTATGTAACAACGAAGCCGGACCCAGTGACATGACTCTGTTTAGCCTAAAGGGCAAGGTTAATTTTTAGCTGTTCAGATGTGACTGAGCCTTTAGTTAAGTGAGGATATATGCTTGCACACATGCAGGGTAACGGGCTTCAGTGTTCCTTTGCGGTTAACTTTTTAATGTTCGTAAACCCGGTATGTGCTGAGATGGTTTAAAGCATAACACAGGTTTTTAGGTTTGCAAATCTGTTAACCTTTGCCTCTTTGAGATTTTAATATTTATTTATTGCTGGTCATATGTGGGGGAGGGGGTATCCTTTCCGCCCTCTACTCGTGGGGTTACGTATGTGTCTTGTAGCATTCTTCTGAACACCAGTTGGAAGGAATTTTTTTTCAGTAAGTGTGGACTGATTCTTTTCTCTGAGAAGGCATGTCATTTTTTCAGGTACACACTGAGTAACACAGAAAACAATTGGGGCTGTTAAAGTTTCTTCAAATTCCATAGAAAATTAAGTTCAACTATATTTTCCAGTCCAGTGATGAAATGGATGTTTGTATATACAAACATCAACATGCTTAACTACTCACTTTCCCCCGAAATATGTAGTATTTCAATCTGTTTATATGGAATATGGGAGTTGAATGAGGAGCCATTTCAGCATATGTAGGACTTATTAAAAGACAAATTTTAAGTAGAACTGTATCCTAAACTGCATTATGGTATTGTACGCAAACATTGCATTTCAATGGGAGATTCAACTTCCTTTCTAGGAACAGAACAGACTCCTGAGACTCTTACCACAAAAGTGGTCCATAGTCGTGCAGATAATCCCATTGCCTTCAGTGGGATTGATCAAATGATCAAGGATTTACAGGGTTTGGTTCCAAGTTTGTAAATTGTTCTGGATGAAACTGACAATGTCTGAACTGTCAGATCAGAAGGAGCTTCATTCAAATAAAGGTGGGCAGATGTGTGATAAGGCTTAGCTCCATTGCTAAGATGAGGAACATATTTTCATCAAAGTTCTTGACAGATTCCTGAGGCAGCTAGTTTAAGGCTGTCAGTGTCTGGCATTATAATCTTCACTTAAGTTCTCTCACCCACAAAGCTGGAAAATGAGACATTTGTTTTCTTTGTTTTGCTGCTCCAGTTCCAGTTAACAAAATGCATGTTAGACTTATTTGGCTGCAAAGATGAATTCTGTGTACACTGGGGACAACACCTGATTCCTATCAGGCTGCAGAACTGGGCTGACATCAGAATCCAAACATCCTCTGGTCAGTGCAAGCAGAGGCATTCCTCTAATGATCTGGACTTGATGTGATGCAGTATGAATGTCATGGATAATTCAGACCAATAGGGAGAAACAGAATCAAAACCACTGTTTAAACACTTCCCCCCAGCCTCCCCTCTTGAGGATTCCTGACCAACTTACTAGCACAATACATATGCTAACAAACTTAAACAAAGCCTTTGTGTAAGTTTCTTAGCATATGTATTGTGCTGTTAAAGCCATATAAAGAATGAATGCTTGAGACACCAAGTGGTGCTCCTGCATTTAATAGCATAAATGATATAAGTGGCCCACAAAGACTACAGGTCTTAGCATGCAATGCTCATTTTGAGGCTAGCAGCCTTCCACTCAGTTCAAAACCGATCACTGGATAAGTCTTCATGGACCAAAACCAGTAACTTAAATCTGATCCCCTTGGAATTTTTCTGTGTGGGAAGCTGGATTTGAAACCCCAGGTTCAAACTGTTTTGTTTCTGAGCTAGATCAAAACTTGGGAGAGACCGATCTTGCAGAGCTTTTTCAGAGACACATGAGAGCTGATGCAAATAGCTGATCAAAAGAGATGTATACCATTCCTCCAATTTGGGCCCAAAATCTCGTGAGATTTCTGCACCTGATTCAGCCTCAAACATGAATCTTAATTAGACTAAAAGAAAAGGAGTACTTGTGGCACCTTAGAGACTAACCAATTTGAACATAAGCTTTCGTGAGCTACAGAAGTGAGCTGTAGCTCACGAAAGCTTATGCTCAAATAAATTGGTTAGGTTAGTCTCTAAGGTGCCCCAAGTACTCCTTTTCTTTTTGCAAATACAGACTAACACGGCTGTTACTCTGAAACCTTAGACTGATAGGAATGCCATAATTTAAGATTGCAGTGGAGTTTTATCACAACCCTCTGGATCCAGCTTGCAAGCTGCCGAGAACCTTCAGTGCCTATTGACTTAGGTCAGAGATGAGGGTACACAGCACCTTTTAGGTGTATCCCCAAGGACATATAAAGCACAGACAGCAGCATGGCAAGGTCCTCGTATACACACGCTATTGCCTCACTGTCCAGGCCCCTCGATCCTCTTCTAGAAGGACTCTATCTAGGAGTAAGAAGACAGCTCAGTTTGTATGGGCCTCTCAACTCTTGGCCTTTGCTGAACCTGCCAACAAGGGGGCTGATTATTGCCAACTCACTGAGTGGGGAGTGTCTTTTATGATGTGGAAACCTTGGAATTAGTCTGAAAATGTCGGGTTTGTTCACACAAGGAATTCATGGGGAGATCATTGGTAAAATCCTAGCTCAGGCTGATGATGGCAAGTTGTTACTGTGGGATGGTTTCAGAGTAACAGCCGTGTTAGTCTGTATTTGCAAAAGGAAAAGGAGTACTTGTGGCACCTTAGAGACTAACCAATTTATTTGAGCATAAGCTTTCGTGAGCTACAGCTCACTTCATGATGATGGTTGTTTACCAGCAAGTAGGGTTGCCAGTTTTCGACCAGAACGCCTGGTCAAAAATGGACCCTGGCAGCTGCGGTCGGCACTGGCAGGCTAAGAAAGGTTCCCTACCCGCTCTGGCTTCACATGGCTCCTGGAAGTGGCCACCAGCCCCAAAACCAGCCATCAGATACTCAGGAAATTCAGAATTAAAGTTACCTGTAATGGTGTCATATAATAACAGCTTGATGATGATTAAAAACCTGGAACCACAAACACTATATTGTCTTAAAGTTTTTTAAACTGATTTTTAAAGAGAATTTTTCTCCTTAAGGCATCATTACAAGGGCAGAGATAAAGTTTTCTTGTGTGCTTGAAGAGTGCATTTCCATACCTCAATGCAATTGGATTTTTTTTTTTAAGTTTAACCTTAAATCTGACTGTCCTGCTTAATTTTGGAATGTTTACAACTTTTCTGTAATGTATTGTACTGATATGTACTCTCAACCTTTAACTCCATCTTAATGTAGCTATCATTTGGGAGTATTTCCAGGCATAAATGATACTAATAGAGTAATACTGACTTCAATGGGACTACTTAGAGTAAGCACTATCCTTGACGGTAAGTATTTGAAGGACTGGGCCATTATGCTGTATCCCACATTGTTGTCTTTGTCTCCCTTTATCATTTTCGTTGCTCACTTTTGAATTCCCTTCCACCATGGCCACATCTTTCGGTTACTGAATTAGCCACAAAACTTTATCTTTCAAAGCTGTCATGAGCACCTTCTCATCATCCAGTTTGCCCAACAGGGCTAAAGCATAGGACGTTATAGCCACAGTGTAGGGTGTTGCCAGAGAGCTGTACCGTGTGGAGAAGTATTCCCCAGCTTTGCGGACACTCCCCTGAAAACTCTAGGAAGTTTAAAGAAAGACAAGGCAGAAATCATCATACTCCTGGATTAGGCTGAGATTCTATCTATTCATTTCATTAGTCACATAATTTTATTTTAGTTTGTCTTAGTTTGTTTTTGTGAATTCTGTTTTGCTGAAATGTATGAGACAGAGGAGTCTGGAGTTCTCCATCTACAGAATAGATAGACTGCCAGGACATCTTTCCTCAACTCAGCCCCCACTTCCCCACTCTGCCACCACTATGCCTTTCCTTTGACCTGGATGGAACCCCCTGTAGAGGTTAGAGAGGTGAGTGCAGTTTCCCTGGCTCATTCAGTTCTTTGTCTCTCTGCCTGACAACAAGGAGGAGTCCTTGTTTCACTTAGACCACCAAAAACCATGAAATGGTAATATTTTTCAGTCACTACATGTCTGAGTCTAACTAAAATAAAGTATCTAGAGATGAAAGACATTCTGTTCCGTTAACAACTCCGTGAGCTATCCAGTTTGCCCTACCTACAGTTCTTCTGTGCAAAATCACAGCAACAAGATGGAGTCTGTAGCCACCTGGGTAAGTCACAGGTCTATGAATGATTCAGCTTTTTGCAGGCCAACGCCATTGTTTACATGTTAGTTTGAATGTTCCCAGGAAAGCTCAGATGTGGATTGGCATCTCCCAAAGTCCATTCCTAGTTAAGTACTCCCAATTAGTTGAATAACCCCTTCACACTATGGTGACCAAATCTGCCTTATGAGCTTCCTACACTTTAAATACAAGCATAGAGCCAGCATTCATAATTTCAGATATAAAAATGATACATGCATACAAATAGGATGACTATATTCAGTAGATCATAACCTTTGCAAAGATATGTTACATGGCATATCTAGCTGTCAAGGTTCCTTCCCCACTCTGAACTCTAGGGTACAGATGTGGGGACCTGCATGAAAGACCCCCTAAGCTTATTCTTACCAGCTTAGGTTAAAAACTTCCCCAAGGTACAAACTTTGCCTTGTCCTTGACCAGTATGCTGCCACCACCAAGCGTTTTAAACAAAGAACAGGGAAAGAGACCACTTGGAGACGCCTTCCCCCAATATATCCCCCCCAAGCCCTACACACCCTTTCCTGGAGAAGGCTTGATAATAATCCTCACCAATTGGTACAGGTGAACACAGACCCAAATACTTGGATCTTAAGAACAATGAAAAATCAATCAGGTTCTTAAAAGAAAAATTTTAATTAAAGAAAAGGTAAAAGGGTCACCTCTGTAAAATCAGGATGGTAAATACTTTACAGGGTAATCAGATTCAAAACATAGAGAATCCCTCTAGGCAAAACCTTAAGTTACAAAAAGACACAAAAACAGGACTATACATTCCCTCCAGCACAGCTTATTTTACCAGCCATTAAACAAAAGAAAATCTAATGCATTTTCTAGCTAGACTTACTAACTTTATAGGAGTTGTAAGGCTTACATTCCTGAACTATTCCCGGCAAAAGCATCACACAGACAGCCCAAACCCTTTGTCCCCCTCCCCCCTCCCCCCCAAACTCCAGCTTTGAAAGTATCTTGTCCCCTCATTGGTCATTTTTGTCAGGTGCCAGCAAGGTTACCGTCGCTTCTTAACCCTTTATCGGTGACAGGGTTTTGCCTCTGGCCAGGAGGGATTTTATAGCACTGTATACAGAAAGGTGGTTACCCTTCCCTTTATATTTATGACACTAGCATAAAACATATTCCAGTTATGTCATATTTACACTCATAAGCATATTTCTATAAAGCATTATGGAGTGCAAGTCACAACTCCTCAATATTCCCACAGCAAACACCTCATTTCACCTCTGACTCCTCTTGTGCTTTTCCAAAGCTTAACAAATAATAAAACTATAATTTTTCACAAACAGAGGCAAAATTTGAAGAGCAAATTACTAGCTGTACATTCTCCACTCGGCTCTAATAAGAATTTTGGATGTTTATAAGGAGCTGTCATATCTGGGGAGCATGGGTGAGCTTTTACACTTAAATGGAGATGGATCTTGACTCTCTAAAGCAGGCTTGTTTCTGTATTTTGCATCCTCACAGAGTTCATCTACACAATGTCCATCCAGCTGGCAGTAATTTGAGGAAAGACATGGCCTCATTTCAAACACTGGCTAAATCCTACGCAGATGCTAAGCAGTCAGTATTGGTTGAAGGTCTTGCCTGGCTATTAATGCTGAACGGGTACAGGTACGCCAACCTCAGAGTTTTCAGTTCAACGTCAAGCACAATAGAAAGAAAGAAGCACAAGAGGCCACATTCTGCTTGCAGCTATCTTGGTGTGAATCCGGAGTAACTCCACTGACTTCAGTAATTCTGGATTTGTATCTGTCGAAACTGAGATGAGAAGCTGGCCCAAGTTCTCTCAGGCTGGGAAATGCCAAGCCTTAGGGTTTGGGGGAAGGTCAGGAAAATTAAATCATTTTTTCCACCTTTTATTAACTGGACAGATTTGCCAAGTCTTTGGCTCTCTGCTCCCAGTCCCGCTCCCACTGAAATCAATGGGAAAACTCCAGTTGACTTCAACTGGAGCAGAGTCAGGTCTTCACTCAAGACTTCAGGGTGAAGATGGCAACCACTTGGGTGAAGTCAAAGGTACTAAAATAGTTAAACATGTGAAACACAGCCTTCCCCTTCCCCATACAAGGATAAGCCATACAGTAGCAGCTATCAGAGGATTTTGGAGATAAGTAGCTTCCTCTTCTAGGTAAAAAAAAGGGGATTTCTGGTGCTGGGAATGGAGCAGGGCTTTGTTTTCCCCCACATGCAGTAGTAGACTTCACTTTTTCAGGAGGACTTTTCCCCTTCCTGGAAAGAAAGCAAAGATGTGATGACATGGTCAAGCCCACCTGAGTGTTTAATGTTGAAAAGGGGGACTCTCTCTGGAAGGCAGTAGACAAAGTTCCTGGATTCTTTCCCTCTAGGGGTGAAGGAACCAGGAGAAATTCCTTGCAGTGCAGTCTCCTCACTGGGGCCAGTTCATCTGCACTAATGAAGCTTCAGCCCCAGTCTTGCTCAGAAAACAATCCTGATCCAGTAATTTAGGTCACGATGTTTCGAAAGCTGGTGTCTGCCCACGGCACGCTGAGAGATCCACAGAGCTCACAAGAGAACCCAGAGAAGGAAATGTGGAGGGAAGGTGCTATTCAAAATGATTTCTCTGCTGGTCAGAACAGGAACCATGGGCACATAGGATTCCCCGAGGCCTGGATGTGACAAATACCCAGTAGCGAATACTCCCAAAGCTGTTCTCAGCTGGACTACAACAAGGTGCCAGTCAAAGCAAGCTACATACCATAATGATAGGCCCACTAGAAAAGCATCATTGGAAAAAGTAGAAAGATATGTATTAATAGATACATCTAGATATTTAAGGGGAGTCAGTGTTGCCTACTGAATAGCGCACTGGGCTGGGATTTGAGATCTGGGTTTGTTCAATACCCACCAAACCAGTCGCAGAGAGGGGAAACCCTCCAACAAGTCGTGCCCCCTCTGTGCCTCAGTGTCCCTTATGTAAAATGGGAATAATTACACTGACCAGCTTTGAGATCCACAGATAAAAAGTGCTATAAGAGATCTAGGAATTATTGTTATAACTATTCTAATGGATACAAAATAAAAGGGCACCCATTCTATTCTCAAGGTGCCTTAAACAATCACTATATACAATCCAGTAGTATAAACCCAGCAGCCTAAAGATAACCAGACAGAAGGAAAATTAAAAATAACCCAGTTTTTCCACAGAACCAGCTTTGATCCCTCAGTCCTGCCAACCCTCTCTCATATACAGCCAATAGATACAGAAGATACAGCAGTCATCTGTTTATTATTGCTAGAGTAGATGGAGATAGATATAGAGTAAGTAGATATTGTTGGGTTGGCCTATAACAATTTTGGCCATTTGATACGGTAGATAGCTACACAGCAGTGAGGCTGCTAAAACTAGACCCTGTTTGATGGATGTTTCCCCCAGGCCGGTATTGGAAAAGAGATCAGCATCACTTACAGTTCTCGTGGTGACGGGGTCAGCTGACATAGATAGCCTGGAAGTCTGAGACTTGGTTCTGCATGTCTCAATCCTTCTGATCCATCTCTTGTACTCCTCTCTCACCTAGAAAAATAAGGAACATGCTCATTGGCGCACGTAACCAACGCCCCATGAGACGCTCGGACAGTTTTACACCACTCGGTCCTAAATCTGAACAGAGCAAAGGACTGAAATTCTTATGACCATCTTCCCCGCTGTGAATTCCCACACGTAAAGGGAAGGGGGAGGAGCGGTCCTCAGTCCCCTAGTTGCAATGAGACAGATTCGGACTTCAGCCGCACCCAGGCAACATCACTGACTTCATCAGGTTGCAAAGTCTGGGTAAAAAGAAAAGGAGTACTCGTGGATAGAAATTTAGCCTAGGAAATGCAAGTTGATGCAGCTCCCACCAAACTACATGTGAATGGGCTTGGTGCAGAAATTACCTGGGGAAATTCTATGGGGAATTACCTGGGGAAATTCTATGGGGAATTACCTGGGGAAATTCTATGACCTTTGTTACACAGGCCATGTCTACACTACCGCTTATGTCAGCAAAATGTATGTCACTCAGGGGTGTGAAAAAAAAAAAACACACGCCTCAGTGACATAATTTCCCTGGTGTAAGTGGCAGCGGGCACAGTGCTATGTCGGCGGGAGAGCTCTCCCCCGTCGGCACAGAGCGGCTACATGAGAGGTCTTGCAGTGGCGGAGCTCCATAGGTACAGCTGTGCCCCTGTAAGGTCTCTAGTGGAGACGTAACCCATGCCTGCTTGGTGTGGCACCCTGTCCCCCTCTAGTGGCACAGATTCATGAGATTAATGAGTCTGCCGCAGCCTTAGCTAAGAGGCATGTGGCTTTTGGCCCACGCAGTAGAGGCTCATGCATTTAGCTCCCGAGGTCCTAGGTTCGATCCCACCCACCAGGGGCTGTTGGTGTTATATAGACATGGTCCCTCCTGGACTTAAAAAAAAACAAACAAACAAAAAAACAAAAACAAAACCCCTGTGAATCTATGAAAATAGCACAATGCAAACTGCAGGAGAAAAAAAAAAGAGATTGGAGGAGAAAGGCTGAATCTCAAAATAGGGAAAGGAGCAACAGGCACGCAAGACCTGAAAAGAGTGAAACCAAGACAAATGTGAACAAAGAAGCTCGGCTGGCTGGACATTAGTGGAGCTGAACAGGTAAAAGGGCTTTACCTGCTTATTGAGGAGACAGTGCACCAGGAAGATGAAGGCTCCCTGCAGGCTGTTGATGATGGTGAATAAATACGCCATGACAGTGGCGGCTGGGCCGACTTGAAGGAGACTGAAAATCCACGTGCAGCCCAGAATGAAGACTTGGGCGATGGCTTTAAAGGTCAGTAGCCTGGATGAAAGCAAATGGAGAGATCCCATTACAACCCTGTGCAGAGAGACCAAGTCAGTGGGCAGGATGGTTTGAAATGGCTAATGCCCTCCAAGTAGCAACTATGCAAAATTCCCCTAGGGACCACTGGTGAGTAATGCTTCTCTATAATGATTCTGCAAATAGGCCCTAGGCCAACCAGGTTAGAATGGCTTCTACCATCCCCTTTACTCTCTATGGGCCTGCTCCGAAGCCAAGAGAGAGACTGCCATTGACTTCAGTGAGTCTGGATCAGGCCCTAGTTTGCCGCCCCTTCTGCACAGCTTGTTCATTTCCTGATTTTGCTGCAAGCAGGCTCTGGCCACCAGTACCACACATCTGGGACAGCTGTCATTTCAATGAGCTGGGCCAGTGAAGGTTTTACTTGTTCTCTAATTCCAGGTAGGTATTTCTCCCCCCTTTTTATTCCTGATACTTCAGGTGAAGTATCAGAGCATCTTACAGTCTTGAAGATATTTACCTTCAGAGGTAGGACAGTGCGCTTATCCCCATTTTCCAGATGGAGAACCAAGGCACAGAGAGATTAAGCAACTTGCCCAATATCGCAAAGGAAGGCGGTGTCAGATCAGGAAGTTGAAGCCAGATCTCCCACATCCCAGACTAGCACACTAACCACTGAACCATCCTTTCTCTCCCTTTCTGATTGATTTGGAAACCCCTATAATAAAACCCTGCAAGGAGAACGGCTTGCCATTAAAGATTTGGTTCATTAGTCCTTACACAGCACTCATGATATGGAATAGGTAGCTCAATTATTTAAGGGTTTGTTGTGTGCCCATTGCTGTGAGAGTACAATGCAGACAGACGGAACCAGATACTAAAGTCAGCTGACAGCAAAAGCGGCCCATGCATAGCCGTACCAGGCAGATTCAGCCTCTGTGAAACTTCATTGGTTTCTGCAGAGTTACAGATTTTACCTAAGATTAATTCATGTATAGATATCTGTATAGGACCCAGCATTATACCATCTGACTTAAACCTGTGTTCTGATCCTAGCTCTGTCACTGACCTGTGGTGTAATGCTGACCACGTCAATTTCCCTCTGTTTCCCCTCACATCCTTTTGTAGCACCGGCAGGGAATATATAATCCACTAATAATGGTTACATAGTCAGAATAAAGGGTAAAGGCCTAAGGAATGAGTAGCAAAAAAAAACGCAAAATACCTGTAGACCGACACCTATAAAAATAGCTTAAGCAGTTAGTGTAAGTGCAAGGCCTTACAGCCTAGGTAGAAGTAGTTGCTCAATATGTTAGTATAAGTCAGTAAACTAAAAGTAATCGTAAGTCACAAAACGGCAAAAGGCTTTTTGTTTATTGTTTTGTAATAATCTCGTGTTGCAAACTGCTGATGGGGAACTGCAAAAAGACAGTTACTACCGGTTTCAAGTATTTTTAAAGGAGGACTTCAGCAAATGCCTAACCGCAGGTAACCGCAGTAATCCAATTAACATATTTTAATGAGTTTAACCAAGTTAATATACTAACCTGTAGAATAAGAACACCCCAACAAGGTAAAGGTAAAACCCTTAAAATATGGTTTAAAAAAAGCTATGCATAGATATGCATAAAAAATACCAAGGCCGAAAAAACATCTAGTCTGAGGAACAGCCATTAAAATTTGTCATCAGCATGCCAAAGACAAACCAAAATCTGTCTCAATCCCCCTTAAAGCTCTCCCCCAAAATATAGTATATACAGGTAATGGGGCTGGTCCCTCTCACACTGTTATACTATCTCACTTGTTTAAATTGTTTTACTTAAACTAGTCATTGTGATAATAAAACTTTGACAGTTACAGAAGGTCTTCACTAAGTGGAACTGGTTTTATGGCTGTGCCCACCCTGCCCCCCACCCTTTATTAGCTGTAACTCTAATAATACCAAGCCGAATCTTAAAACAAAAACCTACCAAATTACAAGTGTTACTTCGGCAAACCAAATCAATAACCTAATCAATAAGCCAGGCAAAACGTTGTCACTATTGGTCGTTTCGATTGTCAACTCCCTGGGGCCGGAAGTGTCGGTCACTCTGTTTGCACAGCTCCCAGCACACATTCTGGTTGGGCCCTCTGGACACTATTGTGATAGAAATAATAATGACAAATCTAGGAATAGACACCAAATCCGATTTCTGCTCCCATGCCGTTACTGCAAGCCCACCCTTCCATTTAAAAATTAGGGCCAATTTTTCCCTTCTTTTCCACCATGCAGCCTTGCTGAAATCAATGGAATTGCATGGATGTTAATGAAGGCAAAATTTGTCCCCAGCACTTTGAGCCTATAAATCCTCAAATTAGGTCTCTTCTCACCATTGTCAGTAGTAAATCCCAGCTACCATGGCCACATGTCCAGCTCTTCCAGAAAACATGGATTTAGCAATTAGATACCAAGAAATCACTGTGCAGTTTTCCTCATGCTGTCTCAGTTTTGCATAGCAAAAGGCATCAAACTAGGCTGAACAAAACACTAGAAAAAGTGTCCTTCCTGGAGGAGAGAATCCTGCACTGAATGAGGAAAATGGAACTGCATGATCTAACACCTCTTGTCCATTGCTGATATCTATAACGCTCTGGTTGACTGAAAGGACTAAGGGTTCTTACACTAGCCAAAAGAGAAGATGCAGGAGGATCTAACAGAAAACTCTGTACAAGGCAGTCTTGATTATCCATATTTCAGTTATGCAGAACAAGGATTCCCCAATTTGTTAATTACATTGAAAATTCCCTTGATTTTAGAGGAAGGATGGTGTAGTGGTTAGGGTCCTAATCTAGCACTTGGGAGACCCAGGTCCAATTCTATGCTCTGCCACAGATGGTCAAGGTCACACACACAAAGTCACTTAGCCTTTATGTGCCTCAGTTCCCCATCTGTATAATGGGGATAAGAGCCCTGTCCTGCCTCACAGGGGTGTTGGAGGATCAATGCATTAAAGATCGTGAAGCACTGTGAGATCTGTGGGTGAAAAGTGCTACATAAAAGCCAGGATACAAAATTGGGGCCCAGTCCCATGAGGTGCTCAGCACCTCCTAAAAGGTGCTGTGTACCCTCATCTCTGACCTAAGTCAATAGGCACTGAAGGTTCTCAGCAGCTTGCAGGACCAGGTATTCAGTGTTCTGTTCTCCATGACTTTCTGATACCAAGTCTGTATCACCCTGGTATTTCCTCAGTTTAATTGAGCCAAGAGTGCCTGTAGCAACCCCCACCGCAGAAGGCTAACGGGACCTCTCAGGCTGGTTTAGTGCTTTCCTACCTTGTGTTTTTGAGGGTGGAGACATCTGTATTGAGGGAGGAGATTGTGTCTCTCAGGATCCAGAGGGTTTTGATAAAAAAATGCTAAATTCATCTGTGGAAACACAACTCGAGTGGATCAGACCCCAGGTCCCTCTAGTCCAGTATTCTGCCTCTGACAGTGGCCAGTACCAACTGCTTCAGAGGCATGGATAATCTGCCCCGCAGATTAGTTCTCCTATTGGTCTTTGGTAGCTGGAGCTTGATTTAAATCCTGAAACCTGGGGTTTAATATCCCTTCCAGAACTTTTCTTAGCCCTCATTAGAACAACTCTGGATATTATTCTTGCTACCCATATAAATGCCCAATCTCTTTTTGAATCTTGCTTAAATTCTTCATGTGTTCACAGTGCCTAGCACAATGGTACTTTGACCCCCGATGGGAGCCTCTAGCTGCTATTGTCAGCTGAATCCTTCCTGTACCGCCAGACATCTCTTAGGGCACAGATAAGGCTCCACCATCCTTCTCTATCCTGAGCTGCTCTGTCTGTCCTCTGTCTTATGTTCCATAAACTTTCCCTCTCTTTGTTGGATCATGGAAGGATTCTTTCAGCTGGCCTCTTTTCCATGTTCCTCCAGCTGCCCAGTTTCACACCTGCCATAGCCGAAGCTCTGGTTTCATTCTTAACACCTAGCCCAGATATTTCCGACTTCTCTTCCGGATAACTTTGGAGCGAAGGAGTTGCTGAACTCTGACAAATCCCAGCATTTGGTATAAATTCGTTCCACTCCATTGGAAACAAATCATGTGAGATTTATTAATTTACTGTAATACAAATAAAGAAGGTGACATTGTTACCTTGTCACTTTCCAGAGAATAAATCCATGGTATCTCGGCCACAACTCACTCCTTAAGCAAACATCCCAATGTCTGACTCATCTCACTATCAAAGTCCTTTCCCTGCAGCATAATTCATCCTTTCCCATTATCCACTGAAGAGAGGAGAAGAAAAGGAATATACCCACCACAATAATAAGGCAGACAGGTCCAAGGAAACTCCAGATAAAGCCTCCCTTTATTGTGAGCCAGCAGCTAAAAGGCAAGAAGAAAAAAAGAGTAGCAAATTATCCCTGGCATTAAAATGAAGTGAATTCTCTCCTTTTGGTTGTCAGATTTAATATCTGGGTGGGGTGGGAACAAGGTCCTCATTCAGAAGAGCACTTAAGTACATACACTAACTCCTTGCTTAACGTTTTTCTCACCAGACATGACTATATTTTATAATATATATTATATACACACAGTATAAGCTTTCAACAAACAATTTAATACTATACACAGCGATGATGATTGTGAAACTTGGTTGAGGTGGTGAAGTCAGAGGGTGGAAGAGGGTGGGATATTTCCCAGGGAAAGCCTTCCTGCTAAATGATGAACTAGCTTTTGGCTGAGCCCTTAAGGGTTCTCTACAAGGCAGCACGAATGAAAGGAGGGGAGACAGCATGGCAGACAGAAACAGAGACGCACACCGCGTGTGTGTGACAGAGAGATGTGCATTGGCCCTTTAAGTAGGCTGACCCCACTCTAAGTACACTGTCTTTTTAAAAAGAACAGGAGTACCTGTGGCTCCTTAGAGACTAACCAATTTATCCGAGCATAAGCTTTCGTGGGCTACCGCCCACTTCATCGGATGCATGCAGTGGAAAATACAGTGGGGAGATTTTATATACCCAGAGAACATGAGACAATGTGTGTTACCATACACACTGTAACAAGAGGTTTCAGAGTAGCAGCCGTGTTCGTCTGTATTCGCAAAAAGAAAAGGAGGACTTGTGGCACCTTAGAGACTAACCAATTTATTTGGTCAGTTAAGGGGAGCTATTACCAGCAGGAGAGAGAAAAAAAACAAAACACCTTTTGTAGTGATAATCAAGATGGGCCATTTCCAGCCGTTGATAAGAACGTGTGAGGAACAGTAGGGGGAAAAATAAACATGGGAAAATAGTTTTACTTTATTTCCCCCCCTCTACTGTTCCTCACACGTTCTTGTCAACTGCTGGAAATGGCCCATCTTGATTATCACTACAAAAGGTGTTTTGTTTTCTCTCCTCCTGGTAATAGCTCACCTTAATGGATCACTCTCGTTACAGTGTGTATGGTGACACCCATTGTCTCATGTTCTCCTGAGCTGTAGCTCACGAAAGCTTATGCTCTAATAGATTGGTTAGTCTCTAAGGTGCCACAAGTCCTCCTGGTTTTTTTGCGGATACAGACTGACTCGGCTGCTACTCTAAAACCTGGCTTTTGAAGTAGTTCACCAAGTTGAGACAACAGCTGCGGCTCCCAGGAAGCTCCCTCCGTTCTGAGCCTGTCCTGTCCGTCCCTTCCATGGAGATGGGGTAAGCGGGGTGCAGGAGCGGGGGGAGGGGGGTACCCTGACATTAGCGCCCCCCAGCTCCCACCCAGCAAGCAGGAGGCTCCCGGGGGCAGCTCCAAGGCAGAGGGCAGGAGCAGCACATGGCAGTGGGGGGAGGGACAGCTGAACTGTCAGCAATGGATAGCCTGCTAGACGGCTGTCGCACAGGGAACTTAGGGGAGCTGATGTGGGGGGGGGGGGGGGCTGCCGGCCCACCCTGGTTCCAAGCCCCCACCAGCTCACTGCAACAGGCTGCTCTTCCTGCAAGCAGTGGACAAAGCAGGCGGCTGCCAAACGACATTATAAGGGAGCATTGCACAACTTTAGACGAGCATGTGCCCTAATTGATCAGCAACGAAACAATGTTAACCGGGATGATCTTAAGTGAGGAGTTACTGTACTTGAGTGCATTCCTGAACTGGGGCCTGGGAGAGGAAGAATGAAATATGAGGTATCCAGGGCCTCACTGACCCTCCATCTCCCCCTCGAAGAGGAAGGACAGTTCTTGGGGTAGAGCAGCAGATCGGGAGTCAAGGGCCCAAGTTCTATCCCTCACTCTGCCACTGATGGGTCTTGGATGTGTCACTTCCCTTCTGAGCCTCAGTTTGGGTTGCGAGTGGGTATTTTTATTGGGATAATTATTTTTATTGGGGATAATAATTGCGCTTTCTCAACAACCCTAGGGCCTGCAGACTGGTAGCTAGGCAGGTGAAAGCAAAGTAAGCGAATAATATGTATGCAAATAAGTTGTCTCCCCCTGCAAGTCTGGAGGCTCTTTTCTTGGGCACTTGGGGTGAGATGCAGGGTGAATGCTGCCTGCTTCCCTTTATGACAGTCTCATGGATGTAGCTTGAAGAAACTGGTCTCATAAGAGCATAACAATGGCCATACTGGGTCAGACCAAAGGTCCATTTAGCCCAGTATCCTGTCTTCTGACAGTGGCCAGTGCCAGGTGCCCCAGAGGGAATGAAGAGAAAAGGAAATCACCACATGATCCATCCTCTATGGCCCATTCCCAGCTTCTGGCAAACAAAGGCTAGGGACACCATCCCTGCTCATCCTGGCTAATAGCCATCAATGGACCTATCCTCCATGAATTTATCTAGTTCTTTTTTGAACCCTGTTATAGTCTTGGCCTTCACAACATCCTCTGGCAAGGAGTTCCACAGGTTGACTGTGCGTTGTGTGAAACATGTGAAGGAACAGGGATCGTAGAATATATTGTCTCTCTGAAATTCAGCCTATGAGTTGAGTGGGTAATGAGATATCTGTTCTCCCTCTGGGATGGGCTCTGCACGTACTATTTGGAAATTCTGTAGCCTCCAGGATTCACCACTGCAGAAATAGCCACCACCAGGGCTGGGACTCCGTAGCCGAACGGGTACGTGAATCTCTTCTTGAACCGGCTGGCGCTGGTGTAATTCACGACCTGCAGGTTCCGGACGGTGAGGAAGAGGTGCAGCCCCTCCAGGAACATCCAGGTGAAACAGGCCAGGAAGAGGTAGTGTAGGAAGCCAGCAATGACAGCACACGCCGCCTGGAGGAGACAGAGAGCTCAGGGACCCTGAACATCTAGCTCTCCAAGATAGGGGAAGCGTTAGTTATTTGATGTGTCCCTTCCAAGCTGGGGAGAAAATGGCATACAAGGCCTGTGAAATATTTAACAAAACCCCTAAGCCATCTAGGACTACACGCTGCATACCGTGGCCATTCAACTTCATCACAGCACGAGGGGTAGAACTCTGATCCTCCTGGTCCAAAAGCACTGGCTCCTACCTCATGAACTAAAAGAGAATCTCCATTAGTGGTTAACAGTATAGGGCTTATGACACATAGTGAGACAGACTGCTCTGCGTTCAGTTCCCAATCCTGCCACCGACTTCACGTGTGGCCTTGGGCAAGTCAATTCATCTCCCTGTGCCTCAGATCCCCACCTGTAAAATGGGGATAATGGAATTTTGTCCCCCCCCCCCATTCTCTCATCTGCTTAGACCATAAGCTCTTCAGGGTAACGACTGTCTCTTGCTCGATGCAGTGCCCAGCACAGTGGAGCTCTGATTTCGGTTGGCTCTCGTTGGCTACTAGAACACAAATAAAGGACTAGAATAGCGGAGGCAGTCCTGACCCCATCCAATAGGGGGCAGTGGTGTTTCACACACAGACACCAGATACTCGGTGACCATGTTAATTTGTTTTCTGGCAAGAACTCAGGGCGAGGAGTAAACCGAGGAAACCCACACACTGAAACACACGCACTTTCCTCACCCTCTGAGCCAGCTCATATTCACAGCTGTCTGTATTCCACATGTGGGCCAAGGGCATTTTTTAACCTTGGGAAACCCGCATCGGCCCAAATGTGCATCTTCAGCTGTTTGTGGTTGCGAAGTTGATTTCCTACGTTGCTCAGTCCAGGACCCCTCCTGTGGCTGGGGAGCTGAAGCCAAGGGATAATTCAACCCTGGCGCCCGATTCGGATTTTACGGATGCTGGTGTAAATCTGAGATACCTCCACTGAGGCCGGTGGTGTCAAAGCAGCGTAAGCAAGTTCAGAATCCGGACCACTGAATTTATTCTGGGCATCGTGATACCAGGCATGTGAAGGGTCCCAAGGGCAAAAGCAACCCACCTTGATTATTAGTGCATCACACAGGTCGTAGCTTGCAATCTGAATGCATTGCATGCATGTTCCTTGTATTCCTCTATCCCTCCCCCCACAAGCTCTCTGTGCCATCCTCCCATCCTCCTCTTCAAGGACTCCCTGCAAGCCCCCACATGCCTGGACTCATACCAGGGGCTGTGTTATCCCCACCCCACCACTGTCATCTCTCCACATACCATTGTCCCTTATTCATCATCCCTTGGTAGGGTCTCTGTGTGGTCCCCCATGTTTCCTCTTCCCCCCACATGCCAGGGGCTGTGTTCCACCCCCTTCCTACTGTCTTCTCTCCACATGCCAGTCCCTTATTTGCTGCCCCCCATCCTCCCCGGTAGGTCTCTGTGTGCCCCCCCCTTGCTTCCTCTTCCCCCCCCCCCCATGTCAAGGGCTCCATATGTGCCCCATTCCCCCTCATTCTTTCATTACAGGAACACTTAGGGGCCCCAAACAAGTTCAAGGACCCGTCGTGCTCTGCGCTGTACAAACACGCAGGAAGAGTGAGTCTCCACTGCAGCTGGGAGCACGCGTCCCCGGGCAGCAGCCCAGGCTAGCTGCTCAAGTACAATCCGCCCGACCCTCTGGATACTTATGCGGGCAGCTGGCCCACGCTGCCGAGGCTCTACAGCGAGTTTGAATGCATTCGCTCAAGCGGAGCCAGCATGTGTCTGTCTGTCTGTCCACTCTGGGAGGCACCCCCCACCCCCGCCCCAGCTGCAGTAGAGACCTACCTTTGAAGATGGTCCCTGCCCTGAAGAACTTACGATCTCATAGATAATGGGGGGGTGGATTTTGGCCGATTTCTCTACCTCATTGGTGACTCTGTCCACCGCGGTGAGGAAGAGCAGGTCGGCCAGGAAGAGGCAGAGGCAGAGCTGCAGGTGGAGGGAGGTGCTGATGTTGCGAATGGAGTGGCTCAGGAGGAAGGTGAGGATGGCAAGGAAGAGGCACAGCAGAGAGAGGGCCAGTCCCACGTAGGTGACGATGGTCAGTGGGTCACTCTCCTGCAAAAGGAAAAATTAAAAGGAAGAGTAAAATTTGCAAGTCATGCTGGAGAAACGGGGGCTTTGAAATAACCGGATAATTTCCCAGGGCAATCAGACCTCTAGCTCTGTTGTTGGAGAACATGGAGGACCCATCTGCTCCCTGCCCCTTTCACTGGGAACTCAGAAGAGCAACACATGTGTTGAGTTTGCAGCCCCCAGATGATCTCTGGATCTCGTAATGACTGTAAACAAAGTGGACCAAATACCAGGCTGACTCGCTCCCCATGCCAGCTCTCTGACATCTAACATGCTGGCCAAGTGCACCTGATCATGCCTTTCCTCGTGGCTGGCTCCGGACAGTGTAACTATTTACAGCCAGAGGCATTACTCCTTTTGCGTAAGTGGCAGACGCCTGCATTTAGGGTGTCAAATGTCCGGTTTGTCCTTGCAAACAGCCGCAGCATCTGTGCTAATGCAACCCGTGGACCATGAGCTTAAGTGGACGGTTGAAATACCTTGATAGCATGTGAAGCCATCAGGATCGCAAAGCTGGACAGGTGATTACAGTTGCAGGTGGTGTGAGTGCTGTTCGCGAGGAGAAGTCTGCAGCCTTCAGTAGACCAGGTGCCAGTGGGGTTCCAGAAAACACAGACAGTCTTCCCTTCCATTTCCTTTCTCTGGAAACAGAAATTGCAGCACCAGCGTCAGCCTCATCCTTTAAAGAGCCGAGGGCTAGTTTAGCCCAAGATAAACCAAAGAGGAGCCAGAGCTTGGCAGACAGAGCACTGGGTTAGGACTCAGGGAACTGGGGTTGTATTTCTAACTCTGCCATTGACCTGATGTGCAATCTCTTGAGAAGTCTCCGTGCCTCTGTTTCCCCTCCTACCCTTTGTCTGTCTTCTTTGGGACGGGGCCCATGTGTTTGTGCAGTGCCTGGTACAATGGGACCCTGCTTTCACTGAGCCTCCACATGCCACTATAATAATGGCTATGGGTTTCACACCACTATAAGTCCATTGATCTGGATTGGGGTAAACGAGAGCAGAGTCAGGCATCCAAGCTGACGCCCCACTGGTACAAGATATTGAGGTTTAGAAGTTCACCTGGGAATTTCCATGCTTTTTGTAGGCTTTAGGGTGGGTATTGGGGGACCCTTAGCATTCGCCCATTTTCAATGTTAAGTTGAATTGCCTCCTCATTTAAACTTGATGTGGTGGAGAAGGAAGAGCCAGTGGAAAGATTCAAGTTGTAGGGGATCTGTGGTACTGATGGGCAAGGAAGATCATTTTAGCAGGACTGAAGGGGGGAATTATGGGTACTGCGGGGCCCAGAGAGGAGGCTGCAGTAGAAAGGTGGAAGGTGACCAGAACCATGGCAAGGGAAGAGAGGAAAAGCCAGTTTTGCGGGGAAGAAACAGCATCAAGATTTGGACTCATCTTGGGGGCAGGGGAGGAGGCAGAAGGAGTGGAAGATGACCCTCATTCGTGAGCCCAACTGGAAGAGGACGGCAGTGTTGACAACAGAAGCAAAGAGAGAAGACAGTGAGGAAAAGGCCCTGGCCAAGAGGGGGCCCTCTTCCATATCAAGCAGGAACATGATTGCCAATTACCTGTTTATGCTTCAGGGTGAAGTTGAAAGGTTTGGAGAGGGGTCCAGGTTTCCCAGTGATCCCACTCACTACCTTGGAATTCAGCGTGATGGTACCCTGCTTGTCATCACCCATCAGGTTTTGCTGGTCGATAAAGTTATTGTTCAGGATGGACTCGAGAATGGCGTACGATATGAAGACAACGGCTCGGGAGCCTGCAGGAGCAAAGATGCAAGAGGCCAGAACAGCCTGTGTCCTGTGTCCGACCACAATGAGCTGGAAGAGCTCTTGGCTGGTGGCACAGCCGAGCCAGAGATGAGAAGGACACAGGTACAGAGAGATGGGACGGCTTCCCCACATTCATGCAGAGCGTCAGTGGCCAAACTGGAACTAGGCCCCAGGACTCCTTACGCCCTGCACTGGCCAATGAATAACACTTCCTCCTAGGGGGCCATCAGCCAACCAGGACTCAGGTGAGCATGTTCTACTCCAGCTCTGCTACCACTAGCCCGGGAAAATCCACCCCCATCCTGGTCTGTCCAAACTCTCCAGCCCTGACATGCCCTCTGAACCAGGAAAGCCACAAGGGCGGAGCTTAATTTGTGCCAGGGCTGAGCCCCTGAACCTCTGGGCTTGGCAGTTCAGAGCCCCGGCACCCCCCGGCTTGCTGTGTCAGTTATGAAAGTAAAAACATTGCTCGAGTCCTGGCACCTCATTACTTGAGTCCTGACCCCACTTTCGTTACAAATGAAGCACTGCACGGAAGGTCGGTGTAAAGCAGCCCAGGACCCCCTGGGGAGTCTATCAGGGCTGCTTTCAGGTTTCTCTGCAGCACTGGAAGATCTGGTCTCACAGCCGGCTCTGTGGAATGCGTTGGAGTGGTTTGACTCCTTCTGTTGCCCACCCAGACAACGCCCGGATGGTACCTGGTTCGCTGGTGCCAACCACGGTCGTGCAGTCAATGCTCATCGAGTCGCTTTGAGAGTTTGGTTCGATCATCTTCCCTGCCCGTAACCTGCAGGGCTGCAATGGCTGGGGGCAGAAGGAGAAGTTCTTCACTGCGCTGCTTTGAAAGCTACCCTCCATTTAGCACATGGCCTGATTCTCCTCCCACTCCTGGGGCGGAAGGGAGCAACGCTGCTGTAAAACCAGCAGGGCCGAGAGAAGAATCAGGACCCCGGATTGTCTTTATGTCCTTTGTGCCTTGCCCCTAGCACAATGGGGCCCTGGTCCATCATGATTGCAGCTCACAATCCTGCTACTAGCCGTGATCAGAGCCTCGTTGTGCTGGGCACCATAGGCAAATGCAGTAAGAGACCACTCCTGCCCCAAACAGCAGGAAGGGTTTGTGTCCTCATTTCACAGACAGGGAAACATAAGCACCAAGCGATTTGCCAAGGTCACTCAAAGAACCTTTGACATAAGCAGGAATGGCACCCGACTCTCTTATGCTTCAGCCCAGCACCTTAGCCCCAAGGCCAAGCTTCAGCACCGAGAGCAGCTAGGGTGGTGCTCAGAGCTGTGTGGAGGTTTTTCCTTTTTCTTACTCATCATCTCGGTTGTGATAGTCTGCGGCTTGTTCTCGGGACTTTTCTGAGCAGCTTCCAAGGCGGCCAATTCTACGCGTTGCAGAAAGGCAGTGGCTGCCCATGTGACCTCCTCTTTGCTCCCAGTAGACTGCTGGGCAGTGGCATTGAAAAGCGAATCAAGAGAAGTGAAGACTTTCTGGGGTTTAAAAAGAAGATTCCCAGGGTAAAGCAGGGGCTGTCAAACAGTGGCCCACTGGTTAACAGAGAGATGGTCCCATGGATCCACCACTGATCCTCCCTATTCACCATCACAGAACATCCCAGGGCAGCTACAACTGCTTACATGGATGGGTGATTTTAGGCAGGCTTTTAGGGTCCCCTCCCCCTCCATGTGCTTCTTATAGTCTGGCCCTCCGCTCCACATGGTTCCCACGCTGCCCAGGTCCCAGCTCCCATCAAGATAGTGCCTCATTCCCTTTGCCCCAAGACATTCATCACCCACTCTTGGGTGGCAGCTGAAATTCCACTCGCTGTTGGCTCCAGTCTATTCTTCTTGAATAGAAGCAACTAAGCCTTGTTTTCAGAGGCTTTTAAAGACTCCCCCCAGGTTCATCTTTGAAAGGAAGTATCTGGAGACCGGTTGGGGACAAAGAGGAGGGACTTTGCCTCGGGGGGCAGGGACTGGCAAATACAGGTGCATAGCCTCTGACCTTCAGCAATACTGACTGGTTTCCATGGCCACATGCAGATTCCAGGCTCTTTGTGGTCTGATTCAGGATGATGCAAAATCTGTTGCTTTTCTGGTTTCCCTGTAGGGGAATCATGGAAAAAGGAGTTTATGCTGTAACATATCTATCTACTGGGGGGTGGAAGATGGGTGTCCATGTCCACCCACCTGTTCTGTCCCTCTTAATCCACTGTATCTTTCTATCCATCCTCTGTCTAGCTCTTTCTCCATCCACCCATCTTCTCTGCCTCCACCCTTCTCTAGTTACCAGCTCCAGTCCATCCATCCTCCCTCTCTATCTCTATCGACTATCCAACCCAGAAGCAGCACACACACTGTGTGAGTGCACTACACAAACTCCACACACACACCCCTCACATCCATACTCTCCCTTTTCCCCTCCTGCCCTGCCCACAAAGATGCCCCAGTTTGGACTCACTCGACACATACGTGCTGGGTGGTGTTGCCGCACCGGCTTTTGAAATCATCTCCTTGCAGAATCCCGGGCTGGCAGATAAAGAGATTTTCTAGGGAAGGAAGGAGGGAGCCAACATTGGAGCCTCTCTTATAAGGATCAAATCTCTTTATAATGCGATCAAAGCATCATTACACTTCTGGGCACAGAAATGAAACCCGGCAAAGTCCAGACGACAGCAGAGCTGATGCTAAAGCTAAAGGGATTGGTTTATGGGGCCCAAGAAGGTGGCATCACTCCAGATGCAACTTTCCCCATAACAACAATATGAAGAATTTGCATGGTTGCAGTTGGCTCCTGTATACTACTGCCTACAAAACTTACAAGGGCCTAGCTACACACACACACTGGTTTGTGGGCAGCTTCTGAACCACGGACCAGAGAGAGCCCCACTAGAGGGCTCACAGACCACTGTTAGCCTTTGGGCCATCAGGGCCTGATTATATTACATGAGTTTCCCAAGGCAGCTTGTAGTGACTGGTACCTGTGCAGTTCAAGGTGTGGGGGTCACCAGGTTTCCAAGAGGTCCCACTGGGAGAAGAATAACCTAGAGGACAGTGGCAGGTGAAACCCCCTGGGGTATTGATGCAGATGCTGTGAGGGCCACAGACTGATGGGACCTGAGAACATTCATCAATATCTAAACAGAAGAATATGGAATCAATTATTCATCACAGTGGCAGTTACAGGCTCAAACCAAGATCAGGTCCCCGTTGTGCAGGGCACTGCACAGACAGGGATGCACAGGGGATGTCTACATTGCACACTAAGCCCGGTCTCTGACTCAGGTTTTAGCCCAAGCCCCCCATGCAATCACACCCAAATTAATCGGACTCGGGGCAGCAAGCACTCAGGACCCAAGTCCTAGCATCTGGGTACTAGAGGGGTGGGTCAGAGTCTGAGACATGCTTCAACTCAGGTCCAAGTTCTGTCATTTTGCAGCGTGGATGCACCTCAAACCACAGACTGAAGTCAGAAGGTCTGTGCAGTGCAGTATGGATGCGTTAGCACAGCTGCAAGACCTGGGTCCAGCAACTGTAAACCCCGGTTAACAATGCAGTGTGGACACACAAGCACTGGCTGAGAAACATTGAGTCCACAAGCCTGGGTCCCACAGACAGTGGAGAGATACCCAGAGAGACAGTCCCTGCCCCAGAGAGCTTTGAATCTAAACAGACGTGACAGTCAAAGGAAATACGGTGATCCCCGCTGTGCGGATGAGGAGCTCAGGCAGATCGCTCGGATGACACTGAGGACCCAGCATAGGAAATACCTCGTGGATGAGCCCAGAGGGCCATCTGGTCCAGCGACTACCATCAAGGCATTCACAGCAATTGTTACCTGTGCACTTCAGGCTGGGGAAACCAACTGTCCCAGTGACAGTATCATAGCCCTTTAAGCATTTGCAGATGAAATTCCCATTGGTGTTGTTGCAGATAGCGTTAGTGTCACAGGGCGAGGGCACTTGATGGCATTAACGTCTACACGGGAAAACATGGAACCTATCATTGTGTAATCGCCGTGGGGAAGCATGGATATGCAATGTTATGTTTGCTATGGTACAGTAATTACAGTTACACTCTTTGATAGTCCTTTGACTCTGCCATGGAGAGACCTTCGAGTAAATGACAATAAAGGCCTTATCTTTCTAAACTATATGCTCTAATTCAATCAGGTTTTTGAGCTTAAGGTAGGAATGGCTGGGTGGAATTCTCTAGCCTGTGATATACAGGAGGTCAGATTATATATTATCACAATAGCCCCTTTATATGAATCCACAGAACAAGTGTGTTAACACTCCAGGAGTTCTTGTGAGTCCCTCAGATGAAATCCACTGCCAATACAATACCAATAGAAATATTGCTCATCACACCAGAAAGTCCATTTCAGTTTTCACGCTGGTCTTTTGAAGGTGCTGTGCAAAGGAACAAACATCTCCAAAAGATGAGCATGGCAACTTATATTCATAACTCTGCTAGTCCCTAAAAATCATGGTCTCAGGACAGCTCTACAATACAGACCGATATTGTTAAAATATGTTGCTCAGGAGTGTGAAGAATCCACATCCCTGAGTGATTGAGTTATACCAACCTAACCCGCCTTGTGTAGACAGGCTACATTCAAGGCCGGATTAACCCATAGGCTAATAAAGCTATAGCCTTAGGCCCTCCTATTTTTAGGCCCTACTGTAGGCCCTCCATTCCACATTGAAGTAACAGCTGAGAGCCAGTAGCGGGGCCATCGGAATTTTTTTTGTCTCATTAGATATTATGTACAAATTATTCCATCACGATTGTGAATTCAATTTTTGGGGTTGTGATTTTGTCTTTGGGGGCTAAATTAGTGTTTGTGGGTGTGATGGGTTAGATCACAGTTGGCAACCCCAAGGGGGTTTCTGGTGTGCCAAGACTTTCCCTGCTGTCCCACCTTGGGACTTCAGCGCCCTTCCTGGTTCGAGCCAGACCCGCTAGCCTGCTGAAAACCCAGACCCAGGTCTGAACCATGTCCCCTAACAGCTGTAGGCTTAACTAAAAGCAGCTTAGGAAGTGTTCCTGTCTTTAACACTCAGATGCCTAACTCCCAATGGGGTCCAAGCCCCAAATAAATCTATTTTACCCTGTATAAAGCTTACACAGGGTAAACTCATAAATTGTTCGCCCTCTATAACACTGATAGAGAGATATGCACAGCTGTTTGCCCCCACCCCAGGTATTAATACATAACTCTGGGTTAATTAATAAGTGATATTAAATACAGAAAGTAGGATTTAAGTGGTTCTAAGTAATGGCAGACAGAACAAAGTGAATTACCAAGCAAAATAAAATAGAACATGCAAGTCTATGTCTAATACAGTAAGAAAACTGAATACAGATAAAAACCTCACTCTCAGAGGAATTCCAGTAAGCCTCCTTTTACAGACTAGTCTCCTTCTAGTCTGGTCCAGCAATCACTCACACCCCGTGTAGTTACTGTCCTTTGTTCCAATTTCTTTCATAGAATATCAGGGCTGGAAGGGACCTCAGGAGGTCATCTAGTCCAATCCACTGCTCAAAGCAGGACTGATCCCCAATTAAATCATCCCAGCCAGGGCTTTGTCAAGCCTGACCTTAAAAATATCTAAGGAAGGAGATTCCACCACCTCCCTAGGTAACGCATTCCATTGTTTCACCACCCTCATAGTGAAAAAGTTATTCCTAATATCCAACCTAAATCTCCCCCACTGCAACTTGAAACCATTACTCCTTGTTCTGTCATCTGCTACCACTGAGAACAGTCTAGAGCCATCCCCTTTGGAACCCTCTTTCAGGTAGTTGAAAGCAGCTATCAAATCCCCCCACATTCTTCTCTTCCATAGACTAAACAATCCCAGTTCCCTCAACCTCTCCTCATAAGTCATGTGTTCCAGTCCCCTAATCATTTTTGTTGCCCTCCGCTGGACTCTTTCCAATTTTTCCACATCCTTCTTGTAGTGTGGGGCCCAAAACTGGACACAGTACTCCAGATGAGGCCTCACCAGTGTCGAATAGAGGGGAGCGATCATGTCCCTCGATCTGCTAGCAATGCCCTTACTTCTACATCCCAAAATGCCATTGGCCTTCTTGGCAACAAGGGCACATTGTTGACTCATATCCAGCTTCTCATCCACTGTAACCCCTAGGTCCTTTTCTGCAGAACTGCTGCCGAGCCATTCGGTCCCTAGTCTGTAGCGGTGGGATTCTTCCGTCCTAAGTGCAGGACTCTGTACTTGTCCTTGTTGAACCTCAGATTTCTTTTGGTCCAATCCTCCAATTTGTCTAGGTCCCTCTGTATCCTATCCCTACCCTCCAGCGTATCTACCTCTCCTCCCAGTTTAGTGTCATCTGCAAACTTGCTGAGCGTGCAATCCACACTGTCCTCCAGATCATTTATGAAGATATTGAACAAAACCAGCCCCAGGACTGACCCTTGGGGCACTCCACTTGATACCGGCTGCCAACGAGACATGGAGCCATTGATCACTACCTGTTGAGCCCGACAATCTAGCCAGCTTTCTATCCACCTTATAGTCCATTCATCCAGCCCATACTTCTTTAACTTGCCGGCAAGAATACTGTGGGAGACAATGTCAAAAGCTTTGCTAAAATCAAGGAACAACACGTCCACTGCTTTCATCCACAGAACCAGTTATCTCATCATACAAGGCAATTAGATTACTCAGGCATGACTTGCCCTTGGTGAATCCATGCTAACTGTTCCTGATCACTTTCCTTGAGGACCTGCTCCATGATTTTTCCAGGGACTGAGGTGAGGCTGACTGGCCTGTAGTTCCCAGGATCCTCCTTCTTCCCTTTTTTAAAGATGGGCACTACATTAGCCTTTTTCCAGTCATCCGGGACTTCCCCCGATCGCCATGAGTTTTCAAAGATAATGGCCAATGGCTCTGCAATCACATCCTACAACTCCTTTAGCACTCTTGGATGCAACGCATCCAACCCCATGGACTTGCGCATGTCCAGCTTTTCTAAATAGTCCCGAACCACTTCTTTCTCCACAGAGGGCTGGTCACCTCCTCCCCATGCTGTGCAGTATCCTTGGGGGTGGAGAGGCTCTCTTTAGCCAGCTGAAGACAAAATGGAGGGGTCTCCCCAGGCTCTCTTGTGGGAGGAGACCCCCTCCTCTCTCCTATGCAAAGTCCAGCTCCAAGATGGAGTTTTGGGATCACATGGGCAAGTCACATGTCCATGCATGACTCAGTTTTTAAAGGCAGCAGCCATTGTCCACATGCAACCTTGAACGTCCTCAGGGAGACTTCTTATGTGGATTGGAGCCTTCCAAGATCCATTGTGCGTTAAGTGCTTCTTGATTGGGCACTTAACTTGCAAATTCCTATCTAAAGAAGCTGACCAAATACATTACTAAGGCTACTTAAAAAAAAAAAAATCAAGCAAGTACACAGCCAATATTCATAACTTTGAATACAAAAAACAATACATGCATACAAATAGGATGAATAGATTCATTAGATCATAACCTTTACAGAGATACGTTACATGGCATATGTAGCATAAAACATATTCCAGTTATGTCATATATACATTCATAAGCATATTTCCAAAAATGCTTACGGGGTGCACCATCACAGCAGGCCCAGGCAATACTGACCTTTGTACCCAGTAGGCCTACACTGGACAATAGAAACCATGTCGAAGAAAGGAGGATGGCAGAAATGGAAGGAGACCAAAGAAAGATGGCAAAGGCAAGATGTAGTGCTGGAAGGAACTTCTCTCCTAACGTTCTTTCCTCCTACTCAGTCTGGTGGTGAGAAAGTCCAGGAGAACACCAGCCTAAGTGAATGGGCTCGCCTCCTGCGTCTTCCCTAGCTGCAGTCTCACCCCCACTCTGAGGACTTTTCTAGTGACAGTAATACAAAAATATCCTTCTCCAACGATCCAGGCGAATGGGACAGGACATCAAGATCTCATTGCATACTGGACTGAGAAGGGCCCACAGAAATGCCAGGATCTAGATGCTAACTTTTCATTGGTGTGTTCTCGCTTTGTCAATCAGAATCGTTATCTGACCAAATCAATGTTTGAATAGGTGAAGCCTAACAAACTGATTGGCAAGTGAGAATGGCTCATGTATTCACTTTCTAAGAAGAAAGTGAACTTGTTTTTATTGCTGCCTGTTTTCGGATACCAAAAAGTGGGGAATATTCTGCAAAAGCTTCAATGATGGGAAGAATACTCTATACCAGTGGTTCCCAAACTTGTTCCACCTCTTGTGCGGGGAAAGCCCCTGGCGGTCCGGGCCGGTTTGTCTACCTGCCGTGTCCGCAGGTTCGGCCGATCGCGGCTCCCAGTGACCGCGGTTCACTACTCCAGGCCAATGGGAGCTGCTGGAAGTGGCGTGGGCCGAGGGACGTACTGGGCTTTCCCTGCACAAGTGGCAGGACTAGTCTGGGTACCACTGTTCTATACATTACCAATCATGCAATGAGGATATAGATATTCAGGCCTGTCTGTAAAGGCCTAGACTCTAAGAATCTAGGTGTATTCTTATCACTTGGCTCGTTATAGAGGTACAAAAGAAAGAATCAAAATCACTGTCTGCTGGTGTAAGGGCCTTCTCTTACTGTGACAGCCTGAGGCCCTGTTCTTAGGCTAAGGCCTTTGGCTAAGCAGCAGAGGCAGCCATAAGCTAGGAAGCGAACAGTCACATCCTCACATTCCAAACTAGTCACATTGAAATAAGGTGCTATTGGGCTGTTAGGCACTATCAGGACAGGATTGTATTCCTATCACCTCCAGAGAAAGGGAAGTGCCTAGAAAATGTAAAAGGAAACTTAGTTTGATAGCATCCTGTCTGGCAAGAACTCACTTATCAATAGCTGGGATGTGAAATCCTCACTTCTGTATTGTCTTGTCATTATAGTTCCCACTTTGCTATTGTTTGTCTGTATAATCTGTCTGGTTCTGTGATTGTTTC